AACTCTATCAGGAAGACAACAGCTGCATTTGCCATCGCCTACCCCAACAGGTCACATTAGAAAGATTTATTTGCTGTTGACAGTAGCTGGAACTCTGCATTTGGAACAGAACATTATTTCTGCATGAAGCGTTTACAGCCCACTGGCAAGGTCATTACAATTAGCTGATATATGTTTAGATGAGAAGTTTAAGCATTAATACTTGTTAATTTGTACAAATTTGCATTTTTACATAAAATGCGTTTCTGTGCTTCTTAAAGCTTCGTTCCTTAGTACTAAAAATATGAAGGACCACTGCCATTGATAGAGACATTGTAATATAGAGGAGAACATATAATGCAGCAACAATAATAACGGGCTCAATATAAAACAACAGGGACAAATATTATATGAAATGGAAACGATTTAAATTTCCATTGCTGGAACAAGAAATCTTCTTTATGATCAAGACTAATTTAGCTCAGTTTTGCATAGCATGAATAACCTACTTTGACAGGCAAATGAAATATCAATAGATTAAGTGACTATTACGAATCATCAATGAATATGCCAGGCTAGTAGTTCTACTAATAATTTAGTTAATTGCATTAAAAGTTTACAAGGATGTAAATCAATTGCTGAGTGATTAGAAGTACATGGAAGAAGCATCTTTAGAGTGCATTTACAAAACCACTGAGGTGATACCAGAAATTAATATGATTACTTTTCTTTCAGATGCTTCAGACAAAGCTGTTTTCACATTACTAGAGAAAACAGAAAATGAAAAGGCAAATGTATAGAGCAACAGCACCCGTAACTCACAAAGGAACACAGGAAACCAGCAGCCAGTGAAAAGCTACAGAAATAAAACAAATGAGAGACCCAGCCAGGATTTTTAAACCCAAGGAAGTTGATTCTGATGTATGCTCTAATATGATCAGTATTTTTTGAGGATGCAGTGATATAACAAGCACAGGAATAACACAGAACTTACAATGGACTCTAGCACTGGCATTAGGGAAGGCCACGTGGAAGCAAATAACAGAGTGAGGCAAGTTGACAGTATGGATGTCATTTCAAAAAAACAGGTCTTCAAGATGTATGAAATGCTGCACAGGCAGCAAAAAATCAAGCCATAAATGAGTTGGGTAGGATTTTTTTGTGATGATGATTTCCTTTTAAAAAGAAAATATAGTCAGCCCAGTATCAAAATTTGGATCACTGCAGTTCATCCTGGAGGATACACCACAGCCAGAGAGTTTGGAATCGGATAGAATACTGGAGTACTGAAACTACCAATGCCTAGGAAAGTCTGCAATTATTTATTGTTAAATCTAAAATAATAGCAACATTCCTTAACTTTTCATTTAGCCAGCGTGTGATGTTTCAAATTTTCATCTCAATTTATAAACAATTAAAATGCTAAAACGCTTTGATTTTCTGACAGTCATTCTGAGTGGATCCTTCTAGGCTTTTGCATGTTTGCTGTTTAAAGCAAATGGATGAAAGCTTTGGGGATTAAAATAGCCGCTTCACGTGTAGGAGGTAAGTGGATACCAAGTCATGCTTGAGGATGTTCCTCCTCGAAAGCACATGATGTGTCTTCAAATATTTATTAAAAAAAAGAATTCTGACAGAAGTCCAATTTCCCACACCATGGGAAGAAAATGTGGAGGGGGAAGAGCCATTACAGATGATGTAATGCCTGCAAGTCTGAGTAAAGGAGACATCTTTTCTTTGGCAACAGTGAGGAACAAGAGCACGAGTCAAATTCCACTTATTTCCCTTGCACTTCTCAGACCCCTCAAGACCAGAAGAGCACAGCATCAAGTACAGCAAGCAAGAAATCCCCTCCACCCAACTATTTCGGTCTGTGAAGGCCTTGAATCATAGCCAAGAGAAGCATCTGAGCCATACTGAAAGCAGGGCAGGAAATCTGCTCATGAAATAGAGGAAAGCAAATGTGCTGTGTAACTGAGCACTGGCAGCCTTGAGCTGCGTTGCCTTTGCTATTAAGACTCATTTATCTTCACAGGTTATCTGTTAGAACTGCACCCAAGTACACTTTGCTAATTTTCTCTGCTAGGAAAAATAACACTTTTCTTGGAGTCCAAACACAGAACTATTTTCACTCATTTATTTGTCTCCAATTTATAATTTACCCATCTAATTTCAGCAATAATTAAGCTGGAGAATTTAATCTAAGTGTTTCTATGGGTACCCAACACCAATCCACCGAAACGGTACCAGAGGTAATGCTGGGAATCCATGTCTGTAATAATGGACTTTCTATGTGATATGGCCAAATCCTACACCCAAAGGAAATGGTATGGTGGAAATTCTCTCCCATGCTTATATGGCAAGTGTCTGCTTTCCCAGACAATTGGCATGCTGTGCAGGCACTACAACACAATCTGTGTTCTATCTTCATATTGAATTCACTGTGTATTTGCAAAAAAACCCTGCATATATTTGATTTATCTTTCCAGGATTATCTTGGATTTCAGTGTCTGAAATCTGGTAACTCTACAGTTACTTAGAAAGGCTGCAGATTCTATATTATCTGTACATGTTTATATTTCACCCGATGCTAACTCTGGTTAAACAGAATCACTGGTATCACTAGCAGGAAGTTTAATTTTGAATTTGCTATGTTGCTAGGGGTAAAATAATACAGGATAATTAATTAATCATAGCTGCTTGTATCAGTAAAGCGTGTGGGGTGTTTATAGCATAACAGAGATGTGTCATCACAAGAAACACTGACATAAAATGAAAAGAACAAGCTACAGGAAAGCATTTCAACTGAATACAAAGGAAGAAAAAACAATAACAAAAGGCAATTTTCCTGCTTTTTAGCCGCTGGCTAAAATGTATCAGCTTGAAATCCCCCAAAAATCCAACAAAAATTTTTATGGCATATGCTGTGCCATATTTAAGGGAAGCTGATTGAGCAAAATGTAATAGAATATGTTAAAAAAATAAAATTAAATGTTCTCCTATAAGAAGACAGAGGTTGACGACCTGTCTATGCTAGAACAGCTTGAGAAAGGCACTTACTATACTGTACTGAATATGTCAGGCTTGTTATTCTTTTACTAGCCACATTTCCTGGGTGGTGAATTACAGAAAAGCAGCATCTAATACAATTCACCTTCCTCGCTTCAAATCGCAGTATGTTTTTTCATGCTCTTCAGGTTTTTTTTCCACTGGAATTCAAGGTTAGAAAACGCACCAGCTACGGATACAGTTTTACTTCAAAAGGGGAAAGCAAAAGTAGAATTTTCAAAGTGAAGAAAACAAAGGAACGTTGGATTTTATAAGTTCTCCTCGCTGATGAGCTTTCTCTGTGCGTGCACTAAGCAGCGCATTTAGTGAAATCACAGTGCCCTCTAGTGCCTTTATTAAGCACATTGTTCAAACTTTTCTTCAATAAACCAAGACACCAAACCGCTACCTTCAGTTTGAAGATGATGTAGAATGACTGTGTTAATTTAGTTATCAGTTCTCAACAGGGTTATTTTTCCTACTCATGTCTAATTAATATACTGGAAAAAAAACCCCAGATTAAATACATACACATATGCAGAAGTAGTACTTATTATTGCAAACGTGAAAAAATAAGGCGGATGCTTTCTCTAAAGCGTCAAAAATAACGTTGAAATATTAAATTGCCTCAATAAATATCGCCCATATTTACAAGAATGCAAAAATGAGGAAGAACATGGCACAAATTTCAAGTACAATTTTGAGAATGGAGCAAAAAGCTCTAATTTGTAAACCAAGCATTTCTGATAAAGAGGCTCTTATTGAAGATTATAAGCCACCAAGATACAGTTTTCAGAGTCTTTCTTGCAAACTTAAGAGCACTTTCATGTGAAGCAAACATGTAAAATATCACAAAATCCGGAATAATTACTAAGGTCAGCTCATTATCTGTGACTCAGAGGTACTTAAAAGAAAATCTAGCATGGAACAAGCTCTTGATGGAATATTAATATCTACTTTGAACATCCTGGCCTTTGAAATATTACATTTTCTTTGACTATTATGAAATTTTGGTTTTCCTTACAAGAACTTTTATAAAGAATGTTAAAATACACAATACTTTTTAACCAAAACATATTTTCTTATGTCTGATTAGGTAGACAGTATTTTAAAAGTATACTTGCATATCTTTTAAAAAAACCAGATATTTCCCTCTGATGCAAATTAGCTTTTCAGATGCCCATCCTTACAACTTAAAATATAGATATGTATCAGTTTACTTTATAAAAATGGATCTTAATAACCGAGCTGGACCTATGAAATGTACATTTGGAGCTATAAAACAAAATTTATCCCACCCTGCTATTGAAATGACAAAACATTACATATTTAGGTGAGTATGTGTTTATAGTTCAATACATCTGGCAACTTACATTTATAACTGATTCGTTAGAGAACTGCCACATAAGATTGCTTTACTTACAAGAATTTTTTTTTTATGATATCAAAATACTGCATTGTATTTATTTAACCAACAAAAGGTAGGTTTTATGTGGAATACTGAACAGTGGAGGACAGGTCGAAATGGTCCCCAGTTCTCTAACATAACCATCAGTTCTGCAAGGCCTTTGCAGTCATACTGTAAAGCTTGGGCTGTGGTTCCTGCATGTCACTTACAGAACTGATGCTCATGTGAAAAATCAAGCCTTTCTCACAGACACTTTGGAGTTCCTTTACAGCCCCAATTATATTTTCATATATATGGGCCACTCTGCATTCTTACCGGTTGCTACTTTTTTTCCTGTGGCATTTTCACCCACTTAAAGTAGTACATCAGTGTGCAGAACTATTACTAAATTGGCATTGTCAGGCTAACATAAAGATGTCATCTCTTGTGATTGTATTAATTACTATCAAATAAAACATTTCAGATGGTAATACAAAATGATAATGTACTTTACATACATGATCGATTCAGGTTATCATTCTGTAATGACCTGCACTGTAGGTTATACAGGAATTACTGTACTTACTTTTGAGATCTAAATTTCTGGCTCCTGCTGTGCTCTGTGTTGTGATTTTAGTGTCAATCTTTACAGTGTGGAGATTGTTGGTATCCCTTGATATCATCACATTATGCCACTGGTTGTCATTCAGAGGTTTATTAGAACTTCCTTTGATGAGATTTGCACCATTTCCCAAGTCAAACACATAGTGTAAATACCTGGGAAAAGAGAAAAAATTGGAAAAGTTTCCTTTTTCTTTACGTAGCAAGGGGGCACTAATTAATATGTCTAATATTTCCTGTTTCCTTATACTCCTCAGTAGTTCTGGTAAAACTGGAAGACAGCAATGAATGCCAAATGAGGAAGCAACCTTAATTCAGGGCAATCACCATTCATTTAGATGAGCTGAGATGCAGTCCCAAGTTTCTGAAAAGTAAGGAGCACTCCATGTACCACCACATGCATACATACGTAGAGAGAGAGCAAGAGGAAGGCTATAAACTAGTACTTCTTTGTAGCAAACGCTATAGAAGTTATACCTATTATTTACTTTCATTTTTTTCAGGCATCTAGCTTCATCTGAAAGAAAAAGTCACAATAAAGCATATGAAGTTTAACACGAAGAAACATTCATTAATCATACATGTCCAGTCAGAGAAGGATCTGTATTTCTCCTATATATTTTGAATAGACTTCTGTCGTCATTACGCTAATCCATACATACCCTTTTACTAATTCAACCACAATGAAATCATTTCCATCGCCACTGTTATAAAGTATCAATCCATCCAGTGAGGTTGTTTTGAACTGGAAAAAAAGGTGCATAGATGTATATGCTTGTAGAGTGGCCAATGCAACATAACTTGCTTTTGTTTTAAACGTTACGGGGTCTGCTATGATGTTCCTGAATCCAAATCTTGCATTTAGCTCACAATAATCGATGTCTCCATTTTTACATAAGTCAATGTATGCCATGCCATTAAATGTAAGACTCTGTAGATGCCCAATAAAATTGGAAGGCACAGAAGACAGGTACCGTCGCTCCGTTATTATTCCTGTTTCTATATTGTGGAATTCCAGTCGTGTGTGATCACCAGCCATTTGACCTTTAAACAGTAACGAGAAAACATGTGTTAGCATCTGAAATGGGAGGTCAAAAAGCACACCACGTGATTAAGTATGTGCATCAGTTTCACACTTTTCAGAATGTGCAAGGGCAATCCTTGGCTCCAAAGAGGATTTCTCTAAATTCATCCAAACTTCTGGTAAATATCTGGGAGCCTTTCCATTGAGATCATTATGTTTGTATAAGGTCAACAGCAAGATTTCTAAACCGAAGCACAGTATCACAGTATATCATAGAATCATAAAATGGTTCAGGTTGGAAGGGACCTTAAAGATCATGGAGTTCCAACCCCCCTGCCATGGGCAGGGACACCTCCCACCAGACCAGGTTGCTCAAAGCCCCATCCAGCCTGGTCTAGGCAACCTTCAGTGTCTCATCACCTTCACAAGAAAGAATTTCTTCCTAACTAATCTAAGTCTCCCCTCTTTCAGTTTAAAACCATTACCCATTATCCTGTCACTACACCTCCTGATGAAGAGTCCCTCCCCATCTCTCCTGTAGCCCCCTTTAGGTACTGGAAGGGGCTGTAAGTTCTCCCTGGAGCCTTCTCTTCTCCAGGCTAGATCAAACTGCCAACAAAACCCCTCACTGTGGTTACACTTAACCAGACATGTAGTTTTGCTATAAGCAAGTGCAATTAATTAACGCAAGATGAAGAACACAAAGTCAAATCTCAGCTAAAACCTGAACATTAGAGTTTCACAGAAGAGAGGCATAACAGTTTGGGGGATATTACTGCATTTATTTTGCTTAAAAGCACACGATTTAGCAAGCAGGAGGAAGAATTCCTGTTTAAGCTATCTTAGGTACATTAATGCCAGCCCTGCTACAAACCCTGGGCTGCAAGGGTGCACAGAACCTTCCTTAAAAGCATCTGGCTTTATACCATGGGAATAAACCCAAGGGAGAAGAGAAGAAGCAAGCAGAGCCCAAGAGAAGGAGGAAGCAGAAAGACTGCAGCAAGGGTGTATGCAAGGGTCTTGTAACCCTGAAAATAGCAAGGGGCTTCTTGCCTACATCAGAAAGGTGGCTAAAACCAAGCCTCACAGCTACCTTTCAGCCCTTCTTTGTCACGCAAGGACTCCTGCACAGCAGAAAGTCTGAAATTTGCTGACTGTAGAGCTAATCTGAAGGATCAACATTGCCAGGGTACACTGCGTACAGGTCAGGTAAGTTTTTAAGCTGGTTTTTAAATACCTTACCCAGCACATCAAAATTGCATCCACTGAAGAGTCCCCTTTTCTAGCAGAGCTTAGATTATTTTTTTTTTATCTCCCATGGTTATTTAAAGAAGTAGGGCAGTACTATCGCAAGGCCGATTCATGGTCACATTGTGTGGGTACGATGACAAAACAGCTTTTTATTACTAATACATTTCACCACTTAATCTACCTTTTGCATACCACGGACCAGATTGCCCAGTTCCTTAGATGTTTCATGTTTCTCGTGGAGTACAAAGACAATGAACAGCAGACCCAGCCAAGCTGGAATAAATACTGGCCTGAAACTGCTCTGTCAGGGAAACTGGGCATGTTTAGTTTGGAGAAGGGGAGGCTGAGGGGAGACCTCATTGAAAGGTCTACACCTACCTGAAAGGAGGTTGTAGAGAGGTGGGGGTTGGCCTCTTCTCCCAAGGGAATAATGACAGGACCAAAGGAAATGGTCTGAAATTGGGGCAGGGGAGGTTTATATGAGATATTAGGAAAAATGACTTTACTGAGAGGGTGGTCAGGCACTGGAAGAGCCTGCCCAGGGAGGTGGTGGAGTCACCATCCCTGGAGGGATTTAAGAAACGTGTAGATGTGGCACTTCAGGGCATGCTCTAATGCCCGAGACTGTTGGGGTTTTTTTTTGTGTGTATAGGGTTGGACTTGATCTCAAAGGTCCCTTCCAACCCTAAAGATCCTGTGATTCTGTGTGTGAACAGGGAAAGGGTGAGGGCAAGATGAATGCAGGTATTTGGGCTTTGCCCAGGGAGATGGGGTTAACCCACAAACAGGTTGAGAATCACAGCACTGAGATAGAAATACAAGTATATCAGTGAAGTTACAGTGGAAATAGGTCTGCAAGCTTTAAAACAATTAAGGGGGGTAAAAAAAAAAGAAAATTGCTCTAATAATTAATGATAAATATTTACAAGCAGCTTACTTTGCTTCAGGACAGATTCTGTCCTAGCTCTATTCATGTCATTGAACCACCATGGCCATCTAGGATCTGCAGTCATACAGGTGAGCACTGCAAGAGGCACCTTAATCCCCTTGGACAGCCTTTTTGATGTCCTCGTTTCTAAACATCAGTGCTGAAGATCCCACTCCTCCTGATGTATTAGCAAAGGTGGGTTCTTCCTTCCAGTAATGAGTCAGGGAGCTCATTACAAGCAGTCTTGAAAACTGCCAAATCAGTAACTTTCTGCCAGGCCAAGAGCTGTATATTGGATCACAGCCAGAAAGCTGAAGATCATGTTTTAGAGGAGGAACATTATGTATTCCAGTCTTATATCACTTCAGATGGCATTGCATAAATGTCATGGCAAAAATCCACTACGCTTTGGCCTGTAGCACTTACTACATTCACTACCTTAAATGTATTTCTTCCTTGAGCATAGTAATAAAAAAAAAAATATCCAGAATCTGGGCTCTTATCCCAAATCTCCCCCTAACATTTCAGTTATACAAACATGCTAAAAGGACTTGAGGCTTCACATAAGGCTCCATGGCATTTGCAACTACGAGAAGGAAGAAAAAGAGAAAGACTGCAGTTTGTGTTTACAATGTTGGGGTTTGGGGAGTTTTTGCTTTGTTTTGTTTTTTTAACTTGTCAGGTTGGTGCATAAAATGCATAACCTGTTGCAGTGCTATGGGACATACAAAAGGCCAAGGGAATTTCTATTCCTAACCATAACCTAGGTCTCCTTTCCGTTATCCAACTCTAGCAATCTCCTTCAGTTCAATACACTTCGAGAAAACAAAGTGCATCAGTTATAACAGTGCATAGTTTTGATTCAGAAAGATATTATTTACCCATGCACAAATTAGGCATTCATCAAAGATGACTAAGCTCAATATGTGGATGAACAGGTGATATTCTATAATCTGTAAAAAATGGAAAGTGAGGCTGAATTATTTAATGGCTTCCCATCCAGCTTCAGTTTTCTGGATCTGGTGGGTTTTTTCCATATGTGACATAGGAAATGGAATCAAAAAAGGAAAACACAGTGCACAGCAGGGGGAAGCTGGAATTTTTAGGAGAAAGTCCATTTTTTCCTCATGTTCCCATAAAATTATAATAACCTTCCACGTTAATAACTACCGGGTTAATATTTAAACCACATTTGTGATTGTTGGGACTATCGGAAGAAAAGTTCTAAGCGGTTCAGAGCAAGAGCATTCCAATCGGATATTGCAACTCTTCCACTACCCCTTTAGGAAATTCAAAGCTACTACACATAAATTTGCATTGTGTACATTTGACTTTCTACCAGATGGGAGCGAAAACTTAAACTCATGAAGGCTTTGGCAACACACACTGCTACATGGCAATAAAGATTTTCCCTGTAGAAAATGTAATATTCCTAGAACTAACCACAGGTTTTCCCGTGTTGTCAGACTTTCAAGTTCCCTCTAGCTTCTCTCATGCCAGTTCCCTGCTCACTGATGGAAAAGGCCACAGATGGGCCACACAGCCTCCTTCAGGGAGGTTATGAAGACTCTTTCCCTCCAAAATACAGGGATGACTTTCTTCCTTTGGCTGAAGAAAATTAAACAGCTGTGGATTACGCAAAAGCTGGCAACTTCCAGCACGAAAAACTGAGAAGGATTTTGAGTCAACCAGCCAGTTTCTGATAGAGGCACTGGCACGCAAAAAAATACAAGTGTTGTACCAGAAAGTTGGACCCACTGGCAAGACTTATGCATGATATGGAGGCAACCAAAGAGAAAGGACTCACTGTCTTAAACAGCTAGAACAGAATAGTTCCGTTGGAAGGGACCTACAGTGATCATCTAAGTCCAACTGCATGACCACTTCACTGCTGACCAAGAGTTATTAAGGGCATTGTCCAAAGGCCTCTTAAACACTGACAGGCCTGGGACATCCACCACCTCTCTGGGGAGCCTGTTCCAGGGTCTCAGCAATTTGCTGACTGGGACATCCACCACCTCTGGGGAGCCTGTTCCAGGGTCTCAGCAATTTGCTGAGACCATGATATTTGATAGTAACTACAGCTCTCCACAACCAAGAGTGATTACAAGAATTTACAGTCCTGTGTTCTTCACTTATTACTTCACTTGACTATGTATGATAGAAACCTCCTGTTTTCATCTTAATACTTCACAATGTTTTGAAGTTTTCTGCAGCTGTGTTCAGCAGCTGGGACTGGACTCAAAGATGAAAACAGTACTTCTTGCTGGTTTCGTAACTTGTAGTACTTGTCAATAAAAAAATCTGCCATGAGGAGCCCAGGAAACTTGCATTTGGTTTTAGACACTGTGTTTTATTTAGATCTAACCAACTTCCTTTAACTAGAAAACATTCCCAAGGTAGCCTTATTATTTGACTTGTCAGTTGAAGCAGAAAGATGATATTTTTCAGTCTAGCTCCTCCAGTACTACATATTTATTGTCACAAAGAAAATAACTGGTTTAGGCCATCTGCTCTCTTGGGAGAATGACCCAAAATGTCATCATGTACACAGACTAAAGTTTGCTTCACCTCTGGAAGATCTGTGAGTAATTTCTGCTTCTAGAAAGTATGTTTTTGCAACTATATGAATACATAGCAATTATTTTTCTACCATTGACACGGTCTCCAGTGTTCTGCTGAGGAGAAAAAAGACTACTAAATGTGTTCTCCTTTGAATAATCCCATTAAAATTGTTAGTATTTTAACAAAACATAAAACAAATTCTAAAAGCTATTTAATACTCCATGAAAACAAAGGAACATATTAAATAGCTAACATAAAATGTGCAAGGAATCAGTGCTAGAAGCCAGGTCTGTTGCTGTAAGACAAATATGTAAGCCTTACCTTTAACAGAACAAAAAATAAATAAAAATCTCTATTATCATGTCTGATAATACCTACATAGGAATATATTTCTAATGTATCCTAGCTTGCATGCCATGTTTTTTCACTCATCCCAACTGCTATTTTAGTATTTGAGAAAAACCTGTTGCCCATCTTTTAATTATTGAGGGCAGTTGATGCAAGATTTAAAACACACTAGAATATCCTTCAAACATTTATGAAATTCTTTCTTACAGCAACAGCTTAGAGTTTAACCTTAGTATAAATTCAGTGTGTTGCCAAAAGCATTTTACTTGCTTTCTCATTAGTGATGTATCAAATTACTTCTCTCCAATTACTGTGTAAAAACATTAATTTAAGTCAGCATGGAGGTTTTCATTAATTTCAACAGCAATGTTAGAGTAACATTAATATCAAGGATAATAACGCACTTGTAGTAGCGGTATTTCAAGATGCCTAACACAGATTTTTGATCTTACCCAAGAAAAGAAAAAAAAAGCCTCTGTTGTTTCAGATAAAGGCATTTACTTGTGTCATTTTTTGCTTTGTGTTTCCCCCCAGTAACGCGGAGTCGCAACGCCACACTACCTGTCATGGCCTGCTGGTCATCCACCATTAACTTTAAACTTTTTCCTCGCCGGACCACACGCACTGTGTGCCACTCATTATCATTGAGGTTATAGCCAGCAAAAAGGGTTTCTGGACCTTTGCCTGTAGGATATGCCAAACAGTCATTATGCAATCTTTAAATCAGTTTACATGTGAACCTCACAGAGAAAGAGAGAGAGAGAGAAAGAGACAGAGAGACTGGCTGGGCAAACGTTAAAAGTCACATCAAACGAGAACATTGCAAAGTATAACCAAACCTCAAAATATAGAGCTACTATGTTAAAATATTTCTATTGTATATTTAACTATATAAACGTATTATAGATGCACATTCAATGAACCAGGTTGTCATAAATAGGCACAGTCAACATGGATTTAGTTATGCCTCTTCCAGTTATGCGCAAGCCTTTCAAAAAATCAGGATTACCGCAGCCAGAAGAACTTCAGCACGTGTTTACAAGGCCAGATTTTTGCTCCCTTATTGAAAATATTTGGGCAAAAGCTAGAAGTGGTAAATGTGTGTGTATGTGTGTTACATTTTTCTTAACCTATGTCAGCTTCTCAGCCTGTTTATTAGGACTTCTCAGAAGATGATCTGTTACCTTATCATCCAGATGACTCGTTACTATTCAGAGCCAGTACCTTCTGATGTCTGCAGACCTCCAAGCCATGCTTTCCTTTTACATATCAGGGATACCTTTTTTTGTAATCTGCTATTTTTGTAAGAATTACAACAAACACTTTTGAAGCAAATATAATCCTAGTACATAGTACTTGCAATAACTGAAGTATTCACAAATCTAGGAAACAGGGTATCGTTAATAACTAGGGAAAAACGCTCAGAATAAAATGATTATGGAAAATGTCCCTTATAGTGTTGACTAATAAGAAAAAGGAGAAAAATCTTGGCTATGATCTGTCATTGATATGAGTAAGTGATTGACCAAATGCTGAGCCAATCAATCAAAACCTCTGTGCTCAAACCCCAGTTGTTGGACCTGTGTGGTGACTCTCCAGAAGGTAAAGCTGATCTGCAATTAAGAAATTACATTCTGGCAAGATAAAGACCTCCCTGGCCTGTTTTTCAGTTCCTGTGGCACAATAAAGGTTGCTGATAACTAAAAGAGATGTATAATATAGTACCATTTGACATGAAAACACGAGGGTTGCACTGAGTCAGGCCATTACACCTCCATGACATCTTTCCAGATGATGCATCCCATGTGCCAGCCTTCTTTTAAAAAGGGATATGCCTCTGGCTCTGAAACACTCCCACATTTCTGTTCAAATCCTTTTCCACCCGGTGCAGGCTAACTGTGACGGATAAGGTCTATAAATAAATGGGTACCATACGACATTGTCTAAAATCAAAGCCTCTCTGATCTCAGGACAACACAGAGGGAAAAGACACTAACCACTTGATGTAGCTGTTCAACATTTTGTACAGTTTTCAGCTCAGACTTTTTCTATCAGCATTTTTTTAATTGCTGCTGGCTGATCTCCCTGCTTTTAAATGCAATTTTTGTTGTTTTGAGCATGTCAAGGGACCTCCAGGAATAAAAATACTACCTACAGCAAAGGCAGTGAGATTCTGATAACATCATGCTGTTTCCTCTATGCTTCTGTATTGACACTAGGCCAGGAAAGGTGTGCAAACCCATCAGAAAAAGACATACATACATATTTTTACATATATATATACATATACTTACTGAAGTCAACTACCTGAATTGTTCTGTTCCTTACATGTTTACTTTTTCTGACAAGAGAAAGACCAGTTTTGCGTAAAGCTTAAGTGAATTAAGTTCTCTTTGGGTACAGTGAAATAGATGCAGTGAATAATGCTCTTTAAGCAAGTTCTATTATTCTTTATTTTATTGGGGGATTCAATGGAAGCAATTTCTAACCAGATTTGGGAGACAAGGGATGGATTTACAAAAAATGCTTAAATGACATGAGTAAAAATCTTAGTGAGAGTCAATATGCCTGCCTAGAAATACATCACTTACTATTATTTTAAATCTTAGCCATTCTTCATTTGTTATTTTAACTGTTTATTTTTAAAATTTAAGTAGTTGAAGTACTTAGTCTCCCTTATCTCACAACAGATTTCTAAAAAGAGCTAAAAGCACATGCAATTTTAATTTGCTCTCACATTAACAACCCTCTGTAGTGTCCCATTCATGTAAATGTGCCACAGTGTATATAAATAGCAAATCCAACTTGGCTGCTCACATTCATACAGGCAAATACGTCTATTATCTTTTAATGGTTAGGGACTTGTAAACTCTTCCTGTTGTAAAATTAAAGGTAAGTTTTCCTATATATCATTCCATTTCCTTTGCAAGAGTACTCCGAGTACAAAAGATCAGGTCAGGACTACCCTTGAGCTGCCTTTGCTCATGATACACGCAATCCAAAATTGGATTAAGGGGAGCTACAGTGAAAGGGCTATGAAGGGGATGAACCTGGGTATAACAAACTACAGGAGGGAACGCATTGAAAGCCACCCTGGCCTTGTAGAAACCATCTACCTTGCATGGAATGAGGCTTTTCTTTCCTGAAGCTGAGCTCTAACAGAGAGAGAGAGGTTCTCCAGAGACAACTTTGTTCACTTAACTCCAAAATAGCAAGACCTGGTGTCTGGGTATTGTGTATGCACCCATCACGTCATGTTGTCTCTCTGCAAAGTAGCATTGTTTTCCATGGCAGCTGAAGAGCTGGATGGGGAAGGACAGATGCCCACCATTCCTGTAGAGAATGGAACACTTAGGCTGCTTCCTGGCCAAGAAAATGCTTTTACATATAAAAGCAGTAAATGTGCTTGTGAGCCGTGTATTTAGGACAAAATTTTCTAAATGCTTAGGTGCAAAAACATGTCGTCCTTGATAACACACAAGAGTATAATGTCTGCAGAAGGAAACTCTTAACATATGTTGTTAAATGGCATTGGTCAAGCTCGAACATATTTCACATAAGTACTTTCCTCACTGACTTCCAAATATATTGACCTGAAATTAATTTAAACAGCATATTATTGAGATCATAGAAGTTCAGACTCTTCTTCTGTCCTGATTTATAGTGAACAACTTCATAGTGAGTCTAATATCAATCTACATCTACTAAATCATTGGCTCTCTGGTATTATTCTGACTTTACCCTGATCTGATCCCACTTAAATCACACCAGCAGAATGTGCTGCTGTATTTAAATAAGAATTGACATATTGCCACTTTAGGGCAGGTGGGCTTTTTTTTTTTTTTAACCCTTTTCTATAAAACATTAAATATCTCCCATGAGAAGAAAAGCAAGAATCCTAATTTAAAAATAAATAAAGGGGGAGGATTTTTTTTTAATGGACTGATACTACCCTTCCAATCCTATGTCCCTCCACTCGCTATTTCCTGTGCTCTCCTTCTGCTGGAACTCATTTGTCTCTTTCTAAACAGGACACAGATAATTTGTTTCATGTAGCCAGCAATCACTCACTTTCTGAGCTACCAATTCTCTCAGACACGAATACCTTAATCATAAAACTTCCCTTTCAGAGACAGGCTGTAACCTGCAAAAATACCCTAAGCATCTTCTCTTGTTTAAGCATGAAAGTTATTATCAATGTCTACATTCAGCTCTTTTCCTACTTTAAAGGCTTAAACAACAACTAGATTTTATGCATCTCTAGTGTGAAGGGATAGTACCAAATAAAAAAGAAAAGTTTAGGCACTTTTATGGCTGTCACAATTTCCTTATAGTCCATCATGCCCGTAAAATCTGCACATTCATTCAAAAGCAGATAATAGCTTGTACAACCATCTTTTTACATGGGAAAACAGAGACTTTGCAGCTACCCAATAGAGGTACAAATCTCAATGATAGGATTCTTTATGAACTAGGACATCCAAATGTAAAGTCCCAAACATCCTAAGTTGTAACTTCCCATAAGCACCCAAAGTTGAGCTTACTTTGTTTTCAGCCCCTCATCTTGAATTTAACTGTCTTTGGTCCTCGTTAAAGTTAAAAGAAAAAAAAGTATGATCCTCCAGAAGAAAAATCTTGTATTCAGTGTGCTGAATATTCTAAATGTTCTCTGGAGATTCCTATTCTCTTTATTATCTTGTGAGGAGCCTTTTCAGCCTAATTAAAGTGCTGAAAATTTGCCGAATTCAAATGAGCCTGTTAATTGATGGTAACATGCATACTTACTTTTTCTGTTTTAGATCTCTATCCTGTTATACTTAAATCAGGATATCTTTTAACCCTATTTGAACAGACTATCATAAAAACAAACTGGTCACTTTGAAACAGGACACTTGCTTTTGGCATTGTATTGAAATACATTCAAACCTAGTTGTCTGAATCAAAGACAAGAACTACTGGCTCTTATGATGCCATCCACCAAGAAGGCTCATACCAAAATGCTACGCAAACTTGCTCGGAGCACTCAATTCTGTGACCAAATTGGATATCAAAAATGAAGAAGCAACTGGTCTCACAGCCACCGTGCAAACCTTGTGAAGCATCTAGATTATACACCAGTCAGGCTGCAGCACAAAAGGGTCATAAAAGATTCCTCCAGAACTAGATGCAGAAAGACAAGGCAAATAGAGGAAAGCATCTTAATCCTCATTATCCTTTCTAGAATGGTTGGTTGCAGAAACAATTCTGGTCTTCTGAACCATTCGTTTGCAAACTTGAATTTAAAAAGTCAGTTATAGCGAATCAATTGTATTTTAAATGACTGCATCTGCATCACCCTGAAATCCCCTGCCTGTGCTTGTTTCTTACTACTAGAAAAACCCTGCAGAAACAATTCTGGTCTTCCGAACCATTCGTTTGCAAACTCGAATTTAAAAAGTCAGTTATAGTGAATCAACTGTATTTTAAATGACTGCATCTGCATCATCCTGAAATCCCCTCCCTGTGCTTGTTTCTTACTACTAGAAAAACCTAGTTGCCTTTTAAAGATCAACGATGTAAATCAGTTTATCGTTTAAAGCTAATTGAGAAATTAACTTCAGAAAGTCTTGTCGCAGGTCAAAGAAATTTTATCAGCTGTGTTTTATTCCTAACAGACTCGTGCAGAAAATTCCACCAGAACAGCA